TGCATATAATAAAGAAATATTGTTGTATTTTTGTAAGCCTGCTTGAAGGCTCATGCACAATAGATATAGGTTGTCCTTCCCTCAAACCAAGACCTAATCATAAAAATCAGATGAACTTAATAAAAATAAATAGTAAGAAAACACATGAAGACGACTGACTACAAATCATGAGTTAATTGTAGAGAGCTATAGGAAAAAATTAGCATACTCTTACGAAGGTTAAACAAAACTCTAGAAACCGAAATAAATTTCGAGGTTCTTCAAAAAGTAAATCAGTGGCTGAAATGGAAGTTAAACTTATATTTTAAGGCATATGAACCTCACATTGGTTATCCTCTTCTTTAATGGCTTTGGATTTCTTGATTATACTCACAACTTTATTGTTCCTAACATCATCTCCTTGATAAAACTTATTATAACTGTTAGTTTTTCATTATAAAATAATTTCCAATCAAACTTTTTATGTTCTCAGTATCAATAACTTCCACATTTTTCTTGGAAACATAGTCATTATTGCCACTACTACTATTCAGTAATTATTCTAAAAAATTATATAATCAAATAAGTATAATAAATTAAAACACATATATAAGCTAATTCACCATCACAAAATAAACAAATGTAACTTTTTCCAATTCCGGTTTCGGCTCCCTCTCATAAATAAAATTACCATGCCTCTCAACTTCGAGAAGCTCACACAGATGATGATCTACATGTTTTAGCTTTGCAACAAATTAAGTCCATCATCGTATTGCACGAAAGAAACATTTGACAAATAGTACAAACCTAAAAAAATGAAGCCCTAAACCCAATTTGATGGAAGTAACACACGACTCTAAACATAGAAAAAGATAACAAAAGAAATCTAGCATAATCACAGTCTTGCTCTTTTTGTATCACTTGATGACATATTTTTTTTTAATACTAAAATCATAAAATTTCTTTTGACAAGTCGAATGGAGAGTAATTCATAGTCCAGAAAAAAAACATGAATGATCATCAAGTGATACATAAGGAGCAAGTATGGAAAAAAATATATCATCAAGTGATACCGAAAGAGCAAGATTATGATTATGCTAGATTGCCTTCAGTTTTTTTTTTCCCATTTCTGGAGTTGTGTGTAGTAACAAATAATTCTATTTCTTCCATCATATTATGTTTGTGGCTTCAATTTTATTTTAGGTTGGTATACGGTTTGGTAAAATGTTTCTTTATTGCAATAAGACGATGACCTAATTTATTGCCAAACTTTAAAAAATAGATAATCATCTATGTCAGCTTCTCGAAGTTGAGGGGCATGATAAATTTACTTATCATAGTTAGCTAAAACCAGTAATGGAAACAAGTACATCGATCTAATTATTATTTATATGAATTAGCTTATATGTGTGATTTATCATACTATTTCGATTATATGAATTTTGCAGTATATTGCTTCTATTGAATGTAGTAGTAGTGGCAATAATGACTAGTTTCCAAAGAAACAGTGGAAGCTATTGGTAGCAAGAACTTAGGAATTTTGATTTGAAATTTTCTTAAAATGAGAAATTAACGTTATACGAGCAGATGTTGCTAGGAACAACAAAATTGTGAGTAAAATCAATAAACACAAAACCGCTCAAGAAGAGTATAATTAGTTTGAGGTTCAAATGCCTCAAAGTATAAATTTAACTTCCATTTCATGCATTGATATACCCTTTCAAGAAGCTAGAAATTTATTTTAGTTTTTAGAGTTTTGTTCTACATTAGAAAAGTATGTTAATTTTCTCTATATCTCTCCACAATTAACTCATGATCAGCAGTTAGTCTTTATCTTTTTCTTTAATATTTACTATTAATCAGCTACATTTGATTTTTATGATAGGCTCTTGATTTGAGAGAATGACAACCTATATCTATTGTGTATGAGCTTTTTTCTAGCAAGCTGACAAAGAGACAACAATCTTGCCCTATTATGTGGATGATGATCCAATTGGTGGACTTACTATCATAAGATAGAGATATGTATGCGTGTCTTTCTTATGTCATGAAATAGTATGCATTTTTTTCAGTTCCTTTCACCACTCAGATCATTTGTATTGTCATTATTCGATTTTATTAAAAGAGGATTATGAAAATTACCTGTTTTTCACCACCTAGGTTTTCACCTTTGGATCTTCATTGGAAAGAGAGAAAGATTTTTAATCTTCAAAACCATTAGAAAGCTTGAGTGGCCCAACAATTCTTGGATCATCATCTATCTCTAACTTCACTTCTTCTAATTTCACCATATTATATACTTTTTGCGCTCTACACTGAAATAAACACTATTAGTTCCACAAATGGTGGGTCAGTTTAATAACAAACTGTAATCCAACCAAAAATAATATTAAGATATAGTAGTTTCGCTATGCATAAATTTCGTTATTGAGTATCGCTTTGATTTTTCATCTAAGAATATTAAGGCAATGTGATTGTTAGGTATTTCAAGTTTAAAATTAATATAAACGTCTATAACATAACGACATGCTCACTTTAAGTTTTCTCTTTTGGTAATCATAAATTTTGAGATATGATTACAAAAAAAATATATATTTAAATTTGACAGTTTCTCTAAGCAAAATTTATTTATTGAGATTTGTTTTTTCCTCCTACGAATAAAAAGATAATGTGATTATTATTCTATATATAAATGGCAAGATAATATTTCTTATTTAGGATTTAAATATAAGGCAAAACGATTCATGCGCTTTTTAAAGTTTTTTCGATATCATACATTTTGAGTTAATTCATTTTTAGTTTTATTAGTTGATGCGTAAAATGATTTGAGTGCTATTATCATCATAGTGGTGTGTGATGGATCTATTATCTTAATAATTGTAAGAAAATATGTGAGTGTGTAAATAGTTTCTTATTCACTACGAATCTGATTACAAACAAGTGTGGAGTACATTTAAGAAAAATATAATCCAGTATTTGGTTTGTTACGTCTATATATTTGAGAATGGTTTATTACATATGTAAGAAAAAAAAAATGTAAGTGTGGATCAAGTTAGATATACCTCTATCTTCTTCGTAGCTATGACGACCTATATCATTGCTTTGTAGATATGACCGTCTATATGTTTGCTTGTAGCTTTCTAAAATCCTCACAGAAGACAAGGATATATATAGAGACCAATCACCAATTTTCATGTGTTAAAATAAGTTTTGATTTATTAAATAAGTTAAAAAACACCTCAAATTTAATGAAATAATTTATGTTTTCCCTAAAATTCTATAATTAGAAGTCTAATAATGTGCATGAATCAAAATTCATATATATTAAATGCCAAAATTAAGCCTTTTTCTTCTAGAATTCTTTATATTAAGGTAAGTGCATTAATAGTTTTAAATAATTATGACTAGTCTTAACAATATTATATTTTATTATAGTAATATTAAGGATTTGGACCATTTGGTTGGTAGTTTAAAGAAAAAATATTTAAAATTGGTAGGTTATTTTTTAATATTAAATTTTTTTTAATTTTTTATCCTAGTCAAACTTCAAGCATTAAATGATTTTATTTGAGTAACATATTTTTATTTGACTACAACGAATCAAAGTTTTCCAAGGTACAACATTTGGATGGTAGTTTAAAGAAAAAACATTTAAATTGGTAGGTTATTTTTTAATATTAAATTTTGTTTAATTTTTTTATTTTAGTCAAACTTCATCCATTAAGTGATTTTATTTGAGTAACATATTTTTATTTGACTACCACGAATCAAAGTTTTCCAAAACAACAAGGTACAACTTTTTTTCCTCAGTCAAAGCATTTTATTTAAAATTATTTATTACATTGATTGTTCACAATTGACAAACAGCCAGACTAGCACATTGTGACAAAAAAGCTTAAATTTATCCCGAATAACCACTAACCTTTTCATAATCATTTACATATTTTAAAGATATCCCGTTAGCAAATGCGATGTGTGTCCGTTCCTAATTAAAACATGACAAAAGTTTTGTAGAAACTTTTATTGAAAATAATATTTCACATTTGTAAAAATTTGTATTGTGAAAATTCATATTCAAATGAGGATTGTATAACACTTTTGGAGACTGGAGTAATTGACGCGCTATTTTCTTAACATCAACACTTTGTGACAATCCTACAATTGCTATTTGCTTTCTCATATGTGGTGGACTTTATTAATAAACAGAATATCATATAAATTGTTTTATTTATTAACATATTATATTTAGCAAAATTAATATCTATTTGATTAACGGTTTGTCACTAAAATTATTTTTTTTTAAAAAACCACTAAAATTTTGTCTACATATAAACTAATTCTTAATAATCTTATATTATAAAACATACTAGATTTTAACCCGCGGTACACCGCGGGATGATTTATTTTTTAAAGTTAGTATATGTAAAATTTTGCAAATTGTATTTCTTTACAAAATATTTATCTTTTATAGTTTACCATTGTCATTAAGTTACGGTATACCATGAGTTCACGAGACAATTTTTAATAAACTGGAGATTTAACCCGTATTAAAGCGGCATGCTAATTATATTTTAAGATTTTATAAATATTGATTCAAACCCATCCGCCATATAAACCTGTTACGAAATATAACCCATCCTGTAATTTCTTATCAGTCCCGTGATTTGTTTTTTAAAAATAGTGATTTTAAAATTTATCAATTATTTATTATATATAAAAGTTTACAAATTGTATCCTGAGTGGGACGACCACATTGTTGACCACTTGACCTTAAAAAACCATACATAAACAATTACTCCTAAAAAAAAAAAATAGGAAGATTAAAAAGTTATCGAGCCGTTGCGCCTTAATTGAATTATTTCATTTATTTGTCTTTGTCTTTAAGTCATAACGGTCATATTTTTAAAAAACAAAAACGACCGTTAATCCCAACAAAATCCCAGCTTTTAACGTTCCTCAAATTTGTTGCTTATCTTATGTATGCATATAAACCCTAAATCCAAGTGAAGTAATCAAGAAACACAAAAACAAACCCAGTACAAAAATTAACAGAGTTCTCTTCTCAAATTCAAGAAAATGGGAATGTCGAAATCAAAAGGGAACACACACAACATCTTCCTTCTCTGCAACTACATCCTCTTAGGCTCAGCCTCAAGCTGCATTTTCCTCACAATCTCCCTCCGTCTCTTCCCATCTCTCTCCGGTCTCTCCCTCATCTTCCTCCACACTCTCACAATCGCAACCGCGGTCTCCGGCTGCTCTATCTTCGCCTCCTCAACATCCGCCACCGCGAGCGATAGATTATACGGTTTACACATGGTAGCCACAGTCCTCACGGCGATTTTCCAAGGCGCGGTCTCGGTTCTGATATTCACGAGAACAGGGGATTTCCTTAGGTTCTTGAGATCGTATGTTCGGGAAGAAGACGGTGCAGTGATACTTAAACTCGCTGGTGGTTTGTGTGTGTTGATGTTTTGCTTAGAGTGGATTGTTCTTGTGTTAGCGTTTTTGTTGAAGTATAGTGATTATTTGGATGAGAGTGTTGTAGATGATGATGATTTTAAGGTAAGGAGGCAAGAAGAAGATCTTAAGGATTGGCCTTCTTACCCATTTCAACTTAAGCTTTAATTTTCAATTTCATTTTATTCTATTCATTTACACGTTTTTGTGTGTTGGTTCATGCTTGTAATGTGATTATGTCACACTTTAATGGGTGTACAAATAATTCTTCAGTGTGTGTATTTTTTATATAAATTTTTTTGAAACACATAGAAAGGTCAAAATTGTTTTTAGGGAGTTTAATGTATATTGTTTAATTTTGATCAAAATCTAGAGCTAATAAGAGTCTTAATTTTGATGAAAAGTCTCTCCAATTTTCTCTCTATCCCAATTGATAAGAAATTGTGTGACTTAAATAAATACATGAAAGGAAAAACAATGAACCTAATTACCAATCCCACAAATTAGTGTGGATACAACCCCATTGATTTAGGATTAACTACAAAGCCACATCTCCGCTCAATCTTTGGTTGACCTGACCTAGTCGACATCGGTTTACATCGGTTAAACGGTTTGGTAAATCTTTAAATTAATCTCTCAAAAGTTCCCATCAATTAATGGATTCAATTTTATATTTCTTTTCCGGTAACGCAATTGTCACTAGTTGTCTCCATCACCGGAACTCACACCGACAACAAACTACAGAGCAACACAAGATGACTGAAATGACCTCACTGAGTTGATGAAACTCTCTAGCTCTTGTGGCAGTTCTCAAAACACTTTGGAGCTTATCTCTTGACTCTTCCTATGTATGTTTGGTTGGTGATTGTAATGTGCGAGTTATGTCACATTTTAATGTGTGTCCAATAATTCTTCATCCAATGTATTGGCTAAGAAATTTGGATGATATCTTCTACCACATCCACCCAATTAACCACGTCAGCACAATCCATATTCACGTTAAAACAAAACAGAAACAAATTTCTTTTTATTTTTTTCTTAAATAAAAAAAAAATACCAAAAGAAGCGGAAACAGAGAAAAAGAGAGAAAAAATGCTGAGTAGATCAGTTGCATCTGCTGTTTCACCGGTCTCTTCTTCTTCTCTCTTACCAAACTCAAAACCTATCTTCTGTCTCAAAACCCTCTCCGGTTATCGTTCTTCTTCTCTCTGCGGCGGCTCCATTCGTAAAATCAACCATAAGCCTCTTCGAATGACTAGTTCCAATATGACTCCAAGAGCTATGGCCACGCAACAGCTTGAGAACGCTGATCAGCTCATTGATTCTGTTGAAACTTTTATCTTTGATTGTGATGGTGAGTGTCAACAACCACAAATGAAATTTTATAATCACTTAGTTTAGATCAATGTTAGAGATTTTTTGTGTAGATAGGGAAGAGTTTGGGAGATGATTGAGAAAGATGTAGTTTCTTGATTAGATCTATGATTGTTTCTAAACTATTATGCGTCTTTTGGTTGTAATGTTTATGTGTATTGACTAGAAATGAGAGCTCATAGTGCTACAAGTTTTTTTGGAATCACAAAATAGTTCCACCAACTATATAAGAAATATCTGGTTCCTCTTGGCCACTATAGACGCCTTAAATGGCAAGAAATCCGGCTTTCTACGGGTTTCGGGGATTAGTCTAGGTTTAGGCCGCTTCGGTTATAAAAAATGTCTTGATAATGAGTTGTTGAACCATTTGTGTATTATTGGTTTGTGTGTTTTGAAGGTGTAATCTGGAAGGGAGATAAATTGATTGAAGGAGTTCCTGAAACTCTTGATATGCTTCGTGCCAAGGTTGGTAAGCAATCTCTTGTTCAATATATTTAAGTGTGAAATGGTTATGTGTCAAATTCTTTTTGGATGTTTCTTTCATTACATCAATTGTTGTTCTGGTATTCTTGATTTTTCAGGGAAAGAGGTTGGTTTTTGTCACAAACAACTCAACAAAGTCTAGGAAACAGTATGGAAAGAAGTTTGAGACTCTTGGTCTGAATGTTAACGAGGTTAGTGGCTTATTTCACAATCTAGCTACTCTAGGTGCTCTTAAGTCTGCTTTTTGATCATAGTATCATTTTTTTCTCAGGAGGAGATATTTGCTTCTTCTTTTGCTGCAGCTGCATACTTGCAGTCTATTAATTTCCCAAAAGATAAGAAGGTATAAGCCGTCTTTCAATCGATACTATTCAACCAATGCGCTAAATTCAATTTTTGGGGGTACATTGTCATCAAGAGTATCTCTTTTGTCTTTGCAAGTTCTGATGCATATTTATTTAGGTGTACGTGATTGGTGAGGAAGGTATCTTGAAAGAGCTCGAGCTTGCTGGTTTTCAATACCTTGGAGGTCCGGTATGTATCGTGACCTTTCTTAGTAGCTTCCCGGATTTGTATTTGCGCTGATACTAACTTCCTGCTCTTGGTTCTCTGTGATATTTCTTCATAACCAGGATGATGGTAAAAGACAGATTGAATTGAAGCCAGGATTTCTAATGGAGCATGAACATGATGTATAACATCCTTCTTATACCTATGATTTCTCTATGTTTCTGTTTCTCTATCAACTTATAGAAACCATGAAAGTGTTGTTCTTGAGACTGAAACTGAGTATAGTGTTACTGAAAAATGTTTTTCAGGTGGGAGCTGTTGTGGTTGGATTTGATCGCTATTTCAACTACTACAAAATTCAGTAGGTCTTCCAATTATGTGTTTCCTTCCACACTTCAGGACTGATATTCTTGATGGTTTATGGTTACTCTATCCGTTATAGACCTTTGTGTTCTGCGTTTGGTGATCTAAAAGCTTCTTTTCAATGGAAGGTATGGAACACTATGTATTCGCGAAAACCCAGGGTGTCTTTTCATTGCTACAAACCGAGATGCAGTCACTCACCTTACCGATGCTCAAGAATGGGCAGGTTGGCTTCTTGTATGCATTATCTTCTTGTATGTTTTTTTTAGCTGTAGTTACAATAACATAATGTAGTTCCTAAGTAAATTTGGTAATGGACCGTTATACAGAAGTTATTTTGTTGTCTGTGTTCACCATTTGTTTCCTCCTTGGACCGGTTAATATGCAATTACTCGGTCTCAGGTGGTGGCTCTATGGTTGGTGCTCTTGTTGGATCCACTCAACGTGAACCTCTTGTTGTTGGAAAACCCTCAACTTTTATGATGGACTATTTAGCAGACAAGTAAGGCTTCCAGATTCTAAATTTATCTACGTTTATAACAATAAATCGTAATGAGATGGTGATCACTAATATTGTACTCTGCTAATAAACAAAATGAGCAGATTTGGAATCCAAAAGTCACAGATATGCATGGTGGGTGATAGATTGGACACTGATATTTTATTCGGGCAGAATGGCGGATGTAAAACTCTGCTCGTCCTCTCGGGTATAACTAATCCGTAAATAGCTCCTTCATCAACACTAACTCGGTTTAACCATCTAAGTCAATCAAAGTTTTATTCATTTTGTTTTGTGGACTTGAAGGTGTTACTTCAATCTCAATGTTGGAAAGCCCTGAGAACAAGATACAACCAGATTTCTACACCAGCAAGATCTCCGATTTTCTCTCCCCGAAAGCAGCAACTGTATAATCAAGTAAGCTCCGCGTCAATGACTCTGTAGAACTCAGGATACTGAATCTATTAATGGGTTTACAACTACAGTCCATTCATACCTTTTCTTTGTGCCTTTGTGTATAATAATAAGATTTTTCGTGCTTGTTTTGGCAAACTTCTTTTATTTGCAGTGCCTTTGTGTGCATCGCAAATTAGCGAGCCAATGAGTATTGTTTAGGAAGAGTTTACAGAATTGAAACAAGCTCTAATCTGTAAGAGTAAGACTCTTTTTATTGACTTTAAATTATTCGTTTGTGGTTATGTACATAAACAAGAAAATGGCTATGCATAACACATTACATAATCATGGTAACATTTTTAATAAACATTCTTTCGCAATAGAATAAACCTTGTAACCAACTAGGACCCCCTTGAGCATTGTTACATCATGTTAAAGTTATAAAAACACAACAAGTTCATGTTCTGATGTTCTTCCGATCAGTGTTTTTGATACACGACAAGATTTCTTTTTTTTTATATTATTGTGTTTCACATTTGGCCAATCAAAAATGTAATCATCTTCACTGCTAAAATGCCAAATTTAAATTGTGCTGACGAATGAAGATAGATAATGCTAAGAACGTACAAAAACTCTTTAAGAAATTAACTCATATCGATGATAAGTCCTATGTAGATTAGATAATATCAAGAAAATTCTAATAACTAGGAGAGAAAACGATTACAGACTGGTGACATCATTTTAGTATATGGGAGACTTTGTCCTTGGCTCCTTGCCACTCAAACAAATAACCAATCAGGTAAAAAAATAAAATAAATAAATAACCAATCAGGTGACCTTAAAGTCACTCTGCTCTTTTACTATGGAATTAACCTAGTAAGAACATATCCATTATTATGCTTGGTCATATCTATCTATCTTTTTGTCATTAGATTTCTTTAACATATATTTTTGTATTCATTATCATAAAATTTATATATTTTTTTTCCTGGCTGTAATAAGATAAGAAAAAAATAGAAAAAGAATAAGATAAGAATTTTTGAAAGAAAATAGAAAGGCATAAAAAACATATTAAATAGTTGTCGTTTCATGGAAAATTTGTGCACCATTGTGGTTCAACCATTATCTGATTTAGATAATGATAATGATTCTCGTTTCCACTGATCACATCCGTCAGCTTTGTATATTTTACTTTTACTGCCTTTTAGACACAATTTCAACGAATTTTCCGCAACTATGACTGAAAATAGTTGTTCTACTCAAATATCACTTAATAATTTATCCAAGTTAACCAGCCTCTGCCACCTTATGTGAATGTGATTGATGTAGCACTAACTCGAAGCCAAAGCAGTCGCTTAGGTCAACATTAGATAGAGATAGTGATAATTAAAGTTTTAACATAAATAAATCGCTGTAAATGTACAATAAACTACAGTAATATATTAATTGATCAAATCGATGAAAAGTCTGCGAAAATAATGTAGAACTAAAGTAAAATATGGTTTTTGGTTATTTTTAAATTTTTTTTGTGTGTAATCTATATTAATATTTTTGAACAACAAATTCCAGAATTAATCAGGTCGTTTTTTTTTTTTAATTCTGACCCAAAATTGAGTCATTCGGATCTTCCCTTAATTTTAACTATTATCTAAAACGGAACAGTATACCACGGGTGAAATCCTAAAATTAACAACTCAAAATACAATTATTTAGTATTTTAAGATACAATTATAAATTGTTTTTTACGGGTTGGTCCAAAAACACACACTAATTTATATATATTATGGAAACCATTTGAAAGCAAACTTTTAAATTGACTCGAATTATATGTCTTTTAAATAAAGTGTTATTAAAAAAAATAACAAAATGATGTTTAATTTCACAAGACGCGATTATATGGTGGACGGGTTTGGGTTGATATTAATACGGAACAATATACCACGGGTAAAATCCTAGAATTAACAAATAAAAATACAATTATACAATCTTAAACACTAAACAAAAAAATATAACTTAAATTTTTATTTTTTAGTTACAACGCATGTGATCCGCGGTGTACAAAAAAAAATATTATACACAACAAATTCATCAATTTATAAAAAGATAAAAAAAAATCAAATAATTAACATGCGGTATACCGCAGGTCATATCCTAGTACATCAATAATTTTGCAAGTACTCCTGCATGCAGAAGCAGAAAACTCATTAGAAAATAAACTCAAATAACGATTTTATAATTTACATGTCGCAAAATCCATTAAAATGTTTTAAAAACTAAGCTTCAAAACTATAGTTTGATTGAGAAAATAAAATACACATTTAAAATTAGTTTGATATGTTCACAAAAAAATTCTAACATCAATTTTCGTTGGCTATGGATGTTTTACTCATCTAAATTCCATCATGCATTGCATTTAATTTTAAATAATTAAATTTTTATGCGTAAACAATCTAAGATCTGAAACTAGTTAGCCACAACATCAAGAACATCATAGATGAAGAAACTAAATTACAATTTCCTAAGTCAACATCTCAATCAATCAATGAAACAATGGAATCCTTTTGAAAACCATGAATCCAATTGGGAAACTACTTCCATATAGAAAAATTCAAAACAAAATAATATATGAAAAACATTATGAAATTACAAAAAATATATTAATATTCCAAAAACACTGTAGGACCAGAGATTAGTCTTTTCATGCTTTCTCAAAAAATCCAAATAATCAAAATTCTCGTAAGGTTTTAAAAAAAAAAAAAAAAATCGAATTGGAATTGGATTTATTTGGGTAGTGTGTATCGAGCGAACAATATTTCCTGGTTAGAAATTTATGTGCATGTTCCATCTATTCACGAGAAACATGTTTTCAGTAAAAACCGGTTATAAATTTTAAATCGTCAATCAGAATGATATGAAACTACTTAAAAATGAAACCTGTCTCAAGCAATATCTTGTGTCCAAAGTTTAAGCTCAATATAAAAATTTGAATTCTTCCAACAAATACTACATTTTTTATGCTTTTACATGCCATATTATTGCATCCATTCCAAAATGACTCGTTTTTCTACAAAACAACCTAGAATCTATAAAACAACTTGGTAAATGACTAAAAGACTCTCAAAACATAAAAATAAAAGTAAGAAACTGGTAAACAACGTTGTAGATTAGGCAGCCAGATATGTGATTAAGAAACCCACTTATGAACTAGTCAAACGTCTTATCTCCTGTTGTCTACTAGATGCGTATAGTTTGTGGAGTAACATACTTATTGTAAGATGAAAAGTAAAAGACTAACCTCACCATCATTTCACTATAAATAGAGGTTGATACTAAGCTTTTTCCTCACACCACATACATTGAAAACGAAGTTGTAATAGTCATGGCTAAGTTTGCTTCAATCATCTTCCTTTTTTTCGCTGCTCTGGTTGTCTTTGCTTCTCTGGGTGCGTAATTAATGATCTTATCATATATATGTCAAAATGAGCTATCAATTTTCTTTTTCTATAATAATTTTTTTATTGTATTTATTTGCAACTAACCTTAAGAAATATATATGTAGAAGCACCGACAATGGTGGAAGCAAAGTTATGCGAGAGGTCAAGTGGGACATGGTCAGGAGTTTGTGGAAACAATAATGCATGCAAGAATCAGTGTATTAATCTTGAGGGGGCGCGACATGGATCTTGCAACTATCGCTTCCCATATCACAGATGTATTTGTTACTTCGACTGTTAATCTAAGAGAACTCTTTGGTGGTAAACTGTGTGTGTGTGTGGTTTACATAAAAGAATTGTCTGTGTCACTATATGAGTGACTGTATGACATGTGTGTGTTTATGTTTTAATGTTTGGTTTGGTTATAGTATAACCTTTTATGTACGAAATAAGATTAAATAAGACTGTGTCACACTACAAGTGACTTTATGACATGCATGTGTGTTTATGTTTTAATGTTTGATTTGGTTATAGTACAACCTTACGAGGTATGTGGTAGAGTTTATTCTTGTCCAAATTTGTCTGCATATGAATTGAGAGCTTCTCCATAAGAACCTCGTACAATTAAGAGCATGCAGCCTATATGTACATAATAACATCTCCAATTTAATAAGAAAGTCGTTTATCTAGCTAAATAAACAAACACAAGATCATGGTATTTATAATTAATTCAACTAAAAAAAAATGGTTGTGTTTTCAGTAGAAATATTAGTTTTACTATTCAAATATAAACAAACACAAGATCATGGTATTTATGTCATCCAATGTCTCCGACAACAAGAGGATTAGTCTGATTTGCGTTTCACTAATGGATGTTTTTTCAGTTAACTAGACGAAATCAAAGACTCACTCACTAGTTTGATCGGGCTACCAAATTAACGTTGGAGAAATAAAATATTAAGAATATCCAATTACGATTAATAGCTGAAGATCCGAACACTCTTTTTCTTGTACCAACTCATTTCCTAATTAATTTTTGTCTAGTACTAACTAATAACTAATTAATAATATGATTCATTTTTCGTTATTTGATTAAAGAAATATTAATCCATTCTTCGTTATTTGTGACCAGGTGAGGAGGCCATGTGGGTATGATCTCTCAGGCTAAACTTTATATATATAAGCATATAAAATGAAGTTTTGAAGTTTTACATAAAGAGCTTAACCTAGGTTTGTAACCTTGCCAAAAAATGAATAGAAAACAAGAGTTACAAAATAAAATTGTTGTGTCAATCAACAAACTATCTGATCCAAAGGGGCATATAGTTCCTGAATTGCATGCTTCCGGTTCCATCTAGCCGTGATATGGTCGAAGTTCCTTCTCAATGGTTTTAAAAACTGATGTTGGTGTGGCAGAGATCTGATTATCCAATGTACCATTAGAAATGATATATAACAAAATTGCACTGTTTTATTATAAAACAACAAGACTCCAAATACAATAAATAATATTTCTTATCAATTGAATATTTTATTTTCTGATATTTTTGGTTAAAGTAGATCAATTGAATAAATATTTTCTTTTTAAAATTTTAATTTATATAATTAAAAATTTTATCAATCAAATGTCTTATTTCTTAAAAATGTAAATCTAAATTAAGATCCATAATTAAAGAAATGTAAGGTATCTCAAATGGGTAAAGTATATTTATAAAAATTGACTTAAATAATAAATGTTTCACAATTTATATCTCCTAAAAGTAAATATTTAAAGTATTTTTCTCTTTTAAATGTTATCTTGCAAAAAAAATATGAGTTTTTAAATATTACACTATTTAATTGATATAGAGGATTTTTACAAAGCACCTCCTTTTATTTTTCCTAAAGGGTATTTAATTGGCGGGTGACATAGTATCAAGTCTGTGGCTTTTTCGAATATCTTTATAT